AGTATTTTGTTGTACCCCTGAAAGGCTCTTAAGGCACCCCAGGATGCTGGAACACCCTGGCTGAGAATCACTGATCTAGTCAACCATGCAAAGAGCTTAGGTTTCTTTCCACTCTGTGGTACACTGCATGAGGTGGGCAGAGAGTGTAGGCCCCCTGAAACAGTGATGCCCCGAATAGCTTAGCTTTGAAAGGCACTGTGGGGTGGATCATTTGCTCACATATGTCTCTATGGCTCTACCAGAGGCAATGAAGCTCCATTAATGGAGAATCTGGCAGGAATAACTCCAGGGGTACATGTTACACTTTGCTTTTGAAGTTCTACTTCTATTTAAAAAGAGCCAGCAATGACAGCCATGCATGTATAGAACGTGCTGGAAATACACTTGTTACTAAGCAAAACAGAAGGCAAATAGCAAATACTGTCATAAATGCATTTAATCTGTTCTGGAATGCCAAATACATCATTTACATATGGATTTTGCAAATGGCAAATCTGAACGTCCTTATTGCACTTTTCCTCCTGGAAAGTTGGCTCTGTTTAATTAAATAGTTTCAAATCCCAATTTTCTAGGCCTGTTTCACTTTAGCTGAAGTTATGACAGCTTGTTGCTGTTAGTTTGAAAAGAGCTGCTTACCTCATCATTGTCAGGGGCTGGTCCAAGACTATGAAATGAAATCTCAGAACTAAGGACCATCATAAGCCTGCCCACCTTTTGCTGCTTTCAGCCTGCCTTCTCTGTTATAAACACAGAGCAGTGTGTTTATAATTCCCCCACACAAAACAAAACATTGCATTGCATATATAATTCTCGACACTGGAAGAGGATGAGAAAAAGAAGGAACCACATGGACAGCTGTTAGTCTTGTTGCTTAATGCACAGCTGGAATATGCTAAAACACTACAGTAAGGAGTGTGCTTTAAAACCTATGCTGAAGGGAGAGAAGCTCCCTTTTGATTTTGTTTGGAAGTATAGAAAGAATCTTTAAAGATGATGTAAAAAAAGATCTCTCAGCAGAGGAATGGAATTGTCTATAGATGCTTTACCAGGAACTCTACAAAGCTTGTATCTGACTTTTCAAAGGAAAAGCTGAGAACAGTTTAAGACTCTTTATCCTCCAGGATCTGGGATGTAAATATTTTATTCATCTGAAGGGGAAGGGCATGCCCAGGAGTTGCTATTAGCTGGCTTCAGTTTGCAAAATGTTCTTCAATGTGATTGCATGGTGTAGCCCTCCTATCTTCTTCAGTGTCATGGTATAACCTGTGACCATGTGATTCTGTCTTCCACAACAGACTGTGCAGCTTGCAGGAACCAGCTTTATGTAGCTGATGTAAACAGACCTTGTGTTTTTTAGAGTGCATATGTGGTTTAGGAGCCCAAGCTCTGCAAAGAGTGTTCCTTTACCACTTAGGCATATTTAAAAATATAACAAAGCTCATTTGATACCTCTTGGGGACACAGGCCAAAAGTTTCAAAAGCAATTCGTGATTTCACATGCGAGTCACAGCTGTGTAGCAAGGACAAACCTACAATGCCTTCAATGTAGCTATCTTGGGAAATACTAGCTGTGCAGCCACAGGTGTACAGAGGTTGGCATGGGCTGATTCATCCAGCTTCTGGCTGGATTTTGCACCCTGTGCTGAGCTCCAGGCCACTGTGGGAAAACCCTTACCTGTCCTCTCAGGTTAGCCTCTGTGTGGCTAACCTGAGACAGCTGAAATGTTTTCTAGGAAGCAATGTGCCACTTCACACACCCACCTTATAATAACCAGCCCCTGTAAGTTTCCCCAGTTTTGCACGCAAGCCCTGAGCCACTCCAAATCAATAGGCACTTATGAAAATTGTAGCCATTGTGCATTTGCTGCTTTATTTTTCATTGTTGCTCTTTATGTCATGTCAGTGCCTGGAGTCCTCTCCTGGCATCTTGGCAGCTTTGTGCTGGGCACTGTGTGAACACATTGGTAAGGAGCAGTCCCTGTCCCAGAGAGAAGACAAGACATAAACATGGGAGGGGCAACCCAGCACAGAAGAGAAGAGGGACTTGCTCAAGCTTACTTAGCAGGTCACTCTCAGAGCTAGAAACAGAACTGAACCCTTGTGATTCTGGTGCTGTGCCCCCACGCCTCACAGGATATTTTGTTAATACTTGATGGCAAAGGCAGCTTTTCACAGAGACTGAACATCACCTTCCATTTTCTGCCATGGACTGGCAAGGGGAAAAGCGTGAGATGGCACTTGGTTGTTCTCTCACCATAGACACAATAGTCTTCCCTCTGAAATCAATGGCAGGCAAGGAAGGTCAGCACCCTATAGCACTGGGCCTGGCCATGTGTGCTCATCTTAGATCCACTAGTATGAGGAGATAGGTGCCTCCCCAGCAAAAGTATGTGCAGCAATAGTACACCAAGCTCTTTCTTCAGTGGGATAAAACTTCTTTATTGGGATTCTAGGGATTTTTTTCACTGCATATTTTGACACAATTTCAACCTGCCTCAATTGTACTCTGCTAAAGATGAAATTATTCCTTCTGACCTTTAGATAGAGGAGAGAGAGAAAAGGTCCAACAATAAATTCCCAGGGCCTAAAATATTTCACCCCAAACTCTGCAGGTTTCATTTCAATTCCAATCCAAATCAAGTGGAATTTTTCTTGGCTTTGGATCTCTGTTAAAGCCTTTAAAGACATTTATTCATGGGAACTTCAGTAAACTTTGGTTAATTTGTTAATGCCAAGGGAATGCAAATTATGGCAAATGAACCAGTAGCGACCAATTATCAGGCAGTGGGGGAAAGGAGGGGAATCAGACCAATGGCAAATTAAACCACTGTGGTGAATAATCCTGTAGGCAAATTAACTGGAGTTTACTGTAGCTGCATCACAGAAAAGTCTTCATTTTCAAATATCTATCTCTATAGCTGTGCTGTATACCTTTTACTATACTCACAGGCTATAACTATAAGCTTTCAGTACCCCCCCCCCCCCCCCCCCCCCCCTCCCCAAATGAATAATTAAGCTACCTAACAAAATATACCTCCTTTGGACCTTACCATTTTATGCATATTTTCCCCCCCGCACAGGATTCCCTTGTAGTGTTATTAGTTGTAGATGTTTAGTGTAGTTCTTGGTTGCATTACAACTGGACAGTTTCTTAAAGTAATGGTGTAATGAAAATTATCGATCGCAATGGGATCAGAGTTAATGTTAGGACATAGCTAGCAAACGTCAGGTATCTCCATCAGTTGCTGCACATAAAACTTCCTGTGCCAGCAGCTGCATACAACACTTTCTTGAGTATAAGATAAAATCTGACAGAAAATGCAGGACGGATTTACATTGTTTCATGTGCAGTGGAGTGTACATGTTCATTTTTTTGATAAATAAATAGTTTAAAATAAGCCTAGGTTTGCATATGTTGATTTTAAGACTGCCATTTCCCTGTGTTTCCTCAAAGTTCATCTGTCTGCTGACTTCTCCACAGAAAGAATGTTTTCTAAAAGATATCAATTGACAAAGAATGTTTGACTGCCACAGTCAGAATTCCAGCCACAGCTCAATTTCAAATACTTTTATTAAACATGAATGAAAGAAAATCAAACAAAAATTTTCAGAGAAAATGTAGAGGGTCTGAAAACCAACACTTCATGGAACTTGTCATTAACATGCCAAGTAAATGAAAAGAAGAACAGGAATTAATGCTCCATTTTAATCCCTGTTTAGCAGGCAGCCTTTAAAATCAGAATCATAGCATTCCTATTGCGTTTCAAACATATTATTATTATAACAGTTCAAGGGAAAAATTATTCTGATTATGAATAAAAATGTCCATGACATTTGTGGTTTAGTAATTTGCCTTTATGAAATGACCATCGCTTAGTGTAACCTTGGAAATGCCCTTTGATTGTAGTAATTTTCATTATATAATTTTCAGTCCTTTCCATTTAATTTTACTTAAGCTGATCTCTGTGTTTCCAGTCGATTAACCATCTGAAAAATGAGAAAGCTTCTTTACTTAATTCTTTGTAGCAGGAGTTTGAATACCTCATTATAACACCTGAAAACCCCTGAACTGATCCAGAAATCCTGTTTTGCAGCCCTCTGAAAATCGCATGTATTTAACCATAGAATACAAAATGAAGAAGCTTTTAGGTTTAGGATAGAAAGCCCGTCATCTGTTCCAGTTTAATAAACTACTTTTCCTGTTGGATACAATATATGATGTGGGTAAATACCTGCTTTTCACAATATACAAACAACAGTTAATATAATTTAATATTAAATGGATATTGGTTTGAAGGAAAGCTATCTTTATGAGTCTTAATACTCCAGAAATATTAATTCTGAAAGAAGGGTACTGTCATAACAATATGTACAGCTGTTTTCAGAGGTTTGGGTTTTCAGAATACAACCATGTCAGTTAAAACCATGTAAAAACCCTCGCACAGGATGTAATCAACCTCAAATCTTCAGAGAAACATTGAGAAATAGTCTTCAAGTGCCAAGAAAAACAACAGTCGTTTACAATAAGCTCTTCCTAATGTCCATTCAGTCAACCCACAATGTTAAATGAGACACATTTCTCAAAATGAAAGTAGGGCAAACAAAAGCACAAAAAATCCCAACAATCTAATGTCTTCGTTATATAGACATATGAAAGACACAGATTCTAGAAAATAACATCTCAAAGTGTCTTGGTTTTGTCCCTGATTAAAGGGCAAGATGAGCCAACTCATAAACTCCAACAGATTTCTAAATAGCTGATGATAAAAAGGTCAATTTTGCAACACTTCTCTTTTTAGCTCTTTTGGTCAGAAACTTTCTCCATCTTTATAGCAGCAATTCTGTTCAGGGTAGTGTCCCCCACTCTGCAATCTTATGCCAAATCATTCTCTTTGGAATTATAGCACAGCCCCAGATATACAGTTCTTGTCACAATATAAGTGAAACCCAGCATCTAAGCTGTACATTTACAGAAAATACTTGAATTGCTTTTCACTTACCTCTGTCAAGGCTCAGCAGTTGTGTGTACAGAGGAATGGAAAAAAAGACCTCATATGATAGCTTCTCTAAATTTACCAGAAAGAAAGGAGTTGGGATGCTTGTCCTTTAAGTGTCTCTAAACATGGTTTGCATAGCTGGATCTCAGCTTATCTGTGCTTTTCTGCTTTTGCTTCCATACATGGATCTGTTCCCAACAGTAACTCCAAGCTGTCGAAAAGAAGCTATCTGGCAGCTTTCAGCTTCTTCCAAACACATAAATGATAAAAAAAAAAAATAATCCTTTCTGTCTGATACTTTTTACACCCCCAAACCCATGCCACAATGTCTTGTTCAAATTAACTTGAAGATTACATATTTCCTTTTCAGTGCATGCTAAACAAATAATGTCAGGCTAGTACATGCAACCATAAAAAATGATGCTTAGGCTAATACTGCACTTAAAATGGCTTGAGTCTCATGCAAATCTTGACTGTTTGCCCACTGCTTATTAAAATATTTGTATAAGTAACTGCTAGAATGTAGTAAATATAAATTATGAAGACAGGGAGTATTTCACTTTTTTGTTCTTAAGTTCATACAATTTTATTTCCAAGAATACTTCCTGCTTTCCTTACAGGTCAGGGTTTTGTATGCTTGTTATGTGGAAGTATTTCAACACAGCATAGCTGTAGTGCGGGAAGGTTTAGATTCACTTTTTTGAGAAGAGAGAGACTACATTAAAAAAACTGTAGCAAGCAGCTTCACATTTGTACCAGTAGCAGTAGTTCCTTTTCCACTAAATACTACAGCAGCTGCATAGTATAAATGTCTGGGACTTTGTAAAAAGGCAACCATGGCTTGGGAAAGTCTCTGCACATTTATTTATCAATAAGCAATAGGACGGAAGTGGGAATGCTCTCTCACAGGTCCCTTCCCCCAGTTTCATAGATTTCCCTTTGAGAGGGGGTGGTAGTTTGAATCCCACTCTACATGAGGGGGTACCTAAATGCCAAGTCTTCTACTTCCTGGGTAAGCACCCTCCCCCAACAAGCTGTGGGGTTAGAACATGGGAGGTATTTTTCCTTCCTTCCTTCCCCCTAGCTAATTACAGGGTTTTGCCAACTATAGTTTCAGACTCTTGCATATGCAGTTGCATGTGTATAGTCCTATGTGCCCACCTGGCCCAAGCACAGTCTACTGCATATGTTCAGTAGCTGCGTGCATGCTTGCAGATCCACACTGCAGATGGAATAGCATTTCTGACCATGTATGAGTGCCAAAAAACGGCCATTACAAGGCCGGATAAGGGCCATATGGGTGCATAAAGTGAAATAGGATTCAGCCCCCAATGCCTGGAAATTAGAAAAATTAGATAGTCTATACCCTTAACTCTGCCCCTTTGCGTATATACATTCTCTCAAGCATTTTGTTGGTATCCATATTATCTCTCCTCCTCACCACCCTCCTGGGTCAGCAGTCCACTTTCTAGCTGCTCCTGGTACCTACGTGTATTCCTGTCTTGCCAGGATCACTGTCTGCATTAGGGCTCAGTCTTGAAATGTGTTGAGCACCCCAGCGTGATCCAGCAGCTGATTAAATTTATGCATGTGTTGATTTAATTGATTTCAGTAGAGCGCATGTTTAACTGTATTGTAGATTCAGGCCACAATGTCCTGTTTCTTACAGAGCCTGTAGAGCAAAGGGTTGCTTGGCATCTAGGCACTTATGTGGCTACTATCCCCAGAGCCTCTATTCACTTGTTGGTCTCTTAAGAATTTATTCTTCTGACATAACATTTTCTTCAATGTACAGAAGTATAAGGGGTGTGCAAAGCGGGACCTATTTGATTTGGATTCAGATTCAGGCAGAATAGGGACAGTGATTTGATTAATTGATTCAGATCACTGTCCCTGATTCAATTTGGCCGAGTCCAAATCTGAAGATTCAATGCGAATTCGGAGAATCAGTAATTTGGACATAGACACAGCTTTAAAAGTTTTTTCTACATACCTTGAGGTAGCAAGCGTGGCTCATGCTCGCTGTGATGCTCGGGCACATGGAACGTCCCACAAGAGTGTAAGGGGAGCCCTCCATGTGCTCAGTGGCAAACCCAGAAGTGGAAGTACTTCCAGTCCACTTCCGGATCTGAAGGGGAGCGCATCGGGGGCCCCCCCCCCACACCCTCCCAGCTTGGTGATCAGCCACAGGGGACCCCAGGTGCCCCCCCAGACCCAGAAGGCACCAGTCACTGAGCCAGGGGGCATGAGGGGGGCCCCCAGCGCACTTACTGGTGGGCCTGGAAATGGGCCAGAACTGCTTCTGGTCCACTTCCAGGTTTGCTGCTGAGCATGCTGAGGAGCACCCTGTGCTTCTGTGGGTGTGGAAAAGACTTACCTCCATCTGCTGAGGAGAGGAGCTGGTGGGATGCCACACTGGAAGCGGAGCGTGGTGAAAATGAAACCATGGTGGTCCCATCCACCGCAGCGAAGAAAGAAGAAAAAAACAAACTGCAGAGTTGGAAAGAGCCAGAATTGGCTCCCATGTCAGCGTGGGCATGCTGGGACCAATTCACCTCCCAGAACCCTGAAGCCGGGATAAAAAGCCCAGGAGGGAATCAGTGGGGAGGACTGGAAGTAAGGTCCTCAACCAGCCCAGAGGGGCCAGATACTGAAAGAAGTCCCAGCTCAGGGATGTGGTAGCTACCCCAGGAGGGCAACTTCATTAAAGAGTCAGAGCCAGAGATGACACCACAACTTACCAGAGACTATGCTGTGGACATAGGAGGTCCACAGCACAGATTGGATCTTGGCAAGATCAGATAAAGCAGGGACCAGCGGACAACCAACCCACGGCAGGTATGAAACCCAAATTGAGGGTGGGACGCCAGGGGACATGACAGGCTGGGACCGACAAGACACATAAATAAGGCAAGGTGCAGCAGAGACTAACCAGGTCCAATAAACATCCTGAATACCACCGTAATAAATCTGAAAGGCCAAGACATCAAAAGGGGCGTAAAACTAATCCTGGTGGCCCAGGTAATACCATCTGTGGTAGGCGTTAGGCAGGGTGTAGGGGAGGCGGAACCCCGAGCAAGGAAGGACAACCAGAACGATGGAAGGAAGGTACCAGGAGAGACGGGGTAGACCGTCTTCCTCCCATTAAAAATTGTTTTTCCAGCACAGACGTGGCAGATGAGACCCCCGGGGGTACCAACCTGTGCCCGTCTACCTCCAAACGCCCGCTCACATGCGGCCTTAGTCCATGCTGTAAGGGGTATGCATTCATGAAACCCCTGAGGTGGGTGTCGGTTGCCTCAAGGACCACCCCCAAACTCATCTGCCACAACTCTGCCACAATACCAGTGGAGGGAGTAGCCTCTGGAGGATCCACAGGAGTGATCACATTGCTAGCAGGATGTTTATGGGGCTCCACCTCCTCTACACCCCAAACTTTGCGCCAACCACTTAGGGGACACCGGGTCTTAAGGTGGCCGTTCCTTCAGTGTGGGTGTTCCCAAGCTCCATCGCCTCTTCGAGGCTCTAGGCTATTGTCCCCTCACTTCCCGCGAGTGGGATGGCGAATTAGCTTGGCCTCTGTGTCCACAGTCCCCTGCTACTGGCAGGTTCTGTTCCTGAGGCCTATTCGGGTGCCCTTGCACCAATGAAAGGCGCAGGGTGTTGAGGGAGCTAGCAGGGGTTATTGCAGGGCCCTTGGCATGGCTTTACGAGCACTCGTGGTGCTCGGGCCAGGTGCCAGATGATTGGAAGATAGCCAATGTGGTCCCCATCTTTAAAAAAGGGAGGAGGGAGGACCCAGGCAACTATAGGCCCATCAGTCTTATCTCAATCCTTGGGAAACTCTTTGAGAAGATCATCAAGGAGCACATCTGTGATGGGCCGGCATCGGGGATGATGCTCAAGGGCAACCAGCACGGTTTCATTAGGGGCAGGTCATGTCAGACCAACCTGATTGCCTTTTAAGATCAGGTCACAAAAGCATTGGATGCAGGTGTCGCCGTGGATGTAGTCTTTCTGGACTTCAGCAAGGCCTTTGACACGGTCGACCACCCCATCCTCATTAAAAAACTAGGTGACTA